GTGATGCACACTTTCTTTACATAAAACTCTTATACATGAGTTGCTGTGGATTTGTTTCTCTAAAGTACCCAGACTAATACACCAAGAAAGCCAGAACGAGTAACAGAAAACTCTTATGCAGTAACTGCAGGCATCCCTTCAAGCCAGGCTATGACACCACCTCTGCAGAAGCTTCCCTCTCCTACCCATTATGTTGGCAGCCAAAACGGCATAAAGCAAAGACAGTCACCATTCATCTACCGGGGAAAGTCGTAAGCATCCCCAGGCCCGAAACAACCTACCGAATCAGACCAAGTAACACAAAACAAACTGGAAACCACAGTAACAGGGGGCAAGAGCAGGAATGACTAACACACAGCCCACAAAGGGGGCTTCCAAGGCCCTTCCTGGGACCCTGGAATAAAGCAGGTAGAAACTCCAGGTGTGGTGGCTTGGCTTCCAGGTTAAGGTTCAATACCAGTCTCGGTGCTAAGATGCACGCTACCACTTTACCAGCTTGAAACTAACACTGAATGCTATAGGTCAGCCAAAATCCTCTTTGGGTTTCTTCCGGTTAGGGAAAACAGGTGCTGATGTACATCTTTTGTAGAAACAAAGTGGTGCAGAGCGAATCCTCACAAAGGGGGGATGGCTGTACCTCACAAGCCGCTGCAGGCGCCCAGGACTCACCTTTTTGGAGCCCTGACACATGATGACACAGCGGCCCTCGTCATCCTGCAGCGGGCGGTTGGCATGGCCCACCATCTGAAGCACATCGTAGATCGGGTAGTCCACGTACCTGGAAGCAGAGGAGAGGTGTAGCAGCAGAGACCACCTGCCGGAGACCCTGCCTCCTTATCTGTGTAAAAAACAGGCTTATGACATGCATCATCTCTAAAGTTCCCCTGGTTAAAAACTTGCTGCTTCCCAAACTTGCTGCTTCCCCAACTTGCTGAAATAAGGACAGTGACTGTAAGAGCAAATGCAACCTGAGGCTGGGACACCTGGCCGTGAAAACCCAGCCGTCTGCTTATTTTCTCTGCTCCAGCAATTCCCTTCCTAACGTTCCTTTACTCCTCTCTTCCAAGGGTTACTTCAATTTCATTCTTTGAGGTCAGGTTAGTTATTAAGATAAGATTTGTTCTAAAAGTTTGACAAGCAAAATTTGTAACTACTGCTAGAACTCATTTTCAGCCACGCAGTGCAATTTCTAGCAACACTATTGGTTGCGAAAGATGCCTCTCCTATAATATGTGAGGATAAAACTTTAATCCCTGCCTTTGCAGGTGTGATTTACTCACGCGTGAATCTTGCCATTGTAGTACTGGGTGTCCATGATGATCACCAGGTGGGCAGCCACATTCATGCCCCAGCAGAGACTCCTCGAAGCTACCACCACCTGGATGGCCCCTGCACAGCAAAGTGGAGACGAAGCGTGACCCAGAGCTCCCCGGTAGAGCACTTCACGGCCTGCTGGCAGGCTGTGGGCTATCTTGTAGGATGTTGCAGGATCAGGGCAAAGCTCTCTGAGGACAGGATTGAACATGCCTAAGAAGGCTCAAGCAGTACCATGACACTAGGCCCAGGCCATTGTTGCCTTGCTTTGGGCGGTTATCCTGGAAGTAATCCTGGAACGGAATCCAAAGGCCCTGATAACTAGAAAGTGCTGATGACAACTCAGTGGGGTGCTGGCTCAGGATCGCAGCCCATGGGGCTTTCTAGAAAGGAACGTCTCCAAGGCAGCTCCAGCAAGCAGTGTCTGAATGATCCAGAAGCAATGCCACTGGTCAATGAGACAACAGTACACAGGGGCAAGAGAGGCTCTCCCACACCAAAACCACCCAACTCACTGCCAGCGAGTCGATTCTGACTCATAGCAGCCCTACAGCAGGACAGGGTAGAACAAAGAAGGTAACAAAGAACAAGCAAGAAAGTACTTTGAAAAGGAGTACATCGTAGAGGAAAGGTCTCACCCACAGCCTGAAGCTGACCACACCCCTTGGGGGGAGAGAGCCTGAGACATCGTATCTCGGAGCCATAAGGACTTGTCTTTTTGTCTGCTTTCTCACCTGAGCTGAAGAGCTGCTCCACCAGGCGCCGCTCCATGGGGCTGAGCCCCTCGTGCAGGTAGCCCACACCGTTCAGCAGCGTCTCCTTGAGTGTGCTGTCACTCAGCTTCTCCAGGTACGGTATCAGGTCCTTCTCGGTGCAGTGCAAGAACCTGGGCAGCACAGCACCGGTTCAGCTCAGGGCTGTCCATCTCTGGCAACCACCCCCTTCAATGATGGGTGCTCAGCCAAGCTAGCCCCCACCCTTCAACAAACCAACCAGCCTCCTTTCTGGAACAAGGCCAATAAGAACCTGGAACTCAAACAGAGGACGCTCCAGGGCCAATCTCATCAACTGCCCCCCTCAACCACCACAAGCGAGGCCAGGTGAGAGGCAGTGGGTGTTGCGTGGACGTCTCAGCCCTGAGCCAGGTGCACGCACGCTCACCTCTGCCGCTGGATGTCCGCAGCGCAGGTGGTGAGGATGTCGATGGCAGTGAGGCGGGTCTGCTTGCGGGACGGAACAAACACAATGACCGGCTTCTTGGGCGAGTGCTTGGTGATGGCATGGTACACGGGCTTGGCCATGGACAGCAGGCGAGTTTGCGTGTGGCTAATGTTGAAGCCCTGCACACCAAGGAAAGAGAGAACCAGGCAAAGGTCGCGTGACCTGCGTGACTCTGGATACTCGAGGCACGAAGGAAGGGCAGGGGTGTGCTACCTGGATGTGCAGCTCCAAGGGCACGGGACGCACGTTGGGGTGGAAGTTGAAAGTGGAGGTGGCGCTGCACCCGAGCCAGTGGGCCACATCCTTGGCATTGGACAGTGAGGAACTCAGCGCCACTATGCGAATGGGCCGCTCAATCTGGGAGGAGATGTAGCGCATCCGCGAGCAGATCACTTCAAGGACAGGCTACGAGACAGGGGAAGAAGGCGGCCGTCAATGCAGACACAGGCCCCTCTCCTCCACCCCGAGCTCCCCTGGGTGAAGAGGCAACAGCCTATATGGAGCTCGTGACCCTTCCTTCTGAGCGCACTGAAAAATAACGGTGTACTTTTGAGGAAGACAAGAGACAGAATCTTCTTGGCAAAGGCCCCACAGCCAGCCTCAGACCCACACATCAGGCCAAAGGCCAAGGTCACTTAGGCAATGCCAACCCCTATCTCTAAGGCAAGGTGGAGCGCCTACCCCGTTCTCGCCCCCGATCAGGTGGACCTCGTCCACCACGAAGAGGCTGATGTTCTGCACGTTCTTGCGCTGCTTCCAGCGCCGGGAGAGGATGTCCCACTTCTCAGGGGTGCTGATGATGATGTGGCCTTTGCCCAGGAGCTTCAGGTCTGTGCTGGTCTCCCCCGTCAGCAGCACCACCTTCTTGTTGAGCCTGTCCTGGAACTTCTCGTACCAGTCCATGTACACCTGGGGCAGTGGAAGGAACAGCTCAAACCAGGCACCAGGAACGTGAGCCTTACACTGTGAGGAAAGCCCGAGGAGCCAGGCAGAAAGAGCCGCGGCTCAGAGATCTTACGCTACTTTTAATCCCACAGCACCTTGAAGTGAGGGGAGCCCTGGTCTCCAGAGTACCAGCTGAGGACACCACCTCGGGAAGGACAAGCGTGGAGTCCCAGCAGACCCTGCCCATTTCCAGCTCTGGGAGAGCTGAGCTGTTAGCACCACCTTACCCACCTGCTCTGCCAGAGCCTCCATGGGCGTGATGTAGACACAGCGCCCCTCCGAGTTCTGCAGCAGCATCCTCAGGATGGCAAACTCTGCACAGATGGTCTTCCCGCTGCCCGTGGGGGCCCCCACGAACACGTTGTCATCACTGTTGTAGACGGTGTTGAACACTGGCAACAACAGGGGAACCGTGTGAGTGAGGATTTACAAGGGAGGAGGAGCTGTCTGGGATCAAGACGACTCAGAACAGAGGACCACTCGAGAATGAGCGACGGCTGGGGCCCAACCGAGGACGAGTGTGGTCGAAGAGAGGCTCGCCCCTCAGCGACCACTTTCTCCTTCCTGTTTCCTGCTCTCCCACACAAAAGGGAGACGAGCTAGGCTGGAGGCCTTGAACCACGCAGCTTTCTGTTAGCGGAGGAGCTCCTAACTACTGCACCTCAGAGCTCCTAATCAATCAATGAAGCAAAACCAAACTCACTGCCATCGAGTCAATGCTGACTCATTGCGACCCCCTGTGGGTTTTGGAGACTGTAACAGTTTATGGGAATAGAAGACCCAGTCTTCTCCCTTGGAGCTGCTGGTGGTTTTGAACTGCCAACTATGCAGATAGCAGCCCCGTGCAGAACCACTACATCACCAGGGATTCCAAATAGAACACTAGTAACAGTTCCTCTAAGAGTAAACCCTGAGGGACTGGAGGAAGAGAAAGTACCTAGCACGTGCTTGGAAACAGTGAGTGATTCGAGAATGTGGGGGGAGGAGGACTCTGCATACTCTGATTCCACACATGAGCCCCAAGGGCAGTCACCCAGCTGCCTGAGCCCCAGAAATGACAGGCAGCCTCCAGTGAGCCATGCAGCATGGAAAAGCCATGTGATGGCACAGTTAGCAAGGGCTTCTGGAAAAGAAAGACGTCCTGCGGGGCTGACGTGGTTGGCTCTAGTCAGCTCCCCAACCTGGGGACCCCACTTTCCTTCTGACCGCACAACACACCAGCTCTCCAGCCAAAAACACACGGCCACTCACTCAATTCTGACTCACACCCACCTACACGACAGGACAAGGTAAAACCACCCCTGTGATTCCAGGGCTGTGAATCTGACGGGAGCACAAGCCTCAGCTCATCTTCCCCCTGCAGAGCACAGCAGCTGGGGGTGTTCACTGAGGAGGGCCCACACAGTTCGCAGCCCACTTGTAACCCACTAGCTACCAGGGTTCCTTGCACTATCTCTCGGCGGTCTGAAAGGGGCTCCCAGAGAACGGACTGCCCAGGCATGGAACACCTACCTTGAGTCTGGATGGGGTTGAAGAAAGGAAATTTCTCTTGGTAAAGGCTCTCAAAGGCACTGTTTCTCAGCGCAGACACGGGCAAGGGCTGCAAGTCCAGCAGCTCGGTTGGAGGTGGGTACTTCTCTGGGAGGATCAGGTGCCGGAAGGAGACAGGCAGCTGGGTCTCACAAGCTGCCAGGAGAGAGGTGGGCAGGGCAGTCATCATTCCACACTTTAGCCCACGGAATTCCAAGGGCTCCACAAACACTGAAGCCCCAAGGCAGCAGGTGGACCTTCTCAAGCCCAGTGCCAAGTGCAAGACATTCTCGTTCCCCTGGATTCCAGACCACCTGGAGCCCTGAAGCTACTGCCTGAGGTCCCCTTTGGAACTGGAAACACTTAGCTAGGAAGAAGCCCTGCCTTGAGCATGATGCTCTTGTGGACTATCTGTATGGGACCCAAGTGCTGACAGCAACTAAGGAGCCCGTGGGGCAGGGAGGAACGACTCAGCAGAGGCAGCTGGTGACACGACTCAGAATACATGAGCCGATGTGTGTTTTGCTGTCTTAGCAACAAAGAGAGAATGTTCTATTAAAAAAAGAAACAAAGCACAAGGCATTCCTGTGGCAGTCTAAGGGGGCCCTGGAGAGGAGACACTCACAGAGCCAGCGGTCCGACACGACTCGGATGAAGTACTGGGGAGGCAGCGGCTCAAAGACAGGCACAAAGAAGGTAATGAGATGCTCGTCCTGTGCATACTTGGCCTTGAGCAGAAAGTACTCATGGTGCAGAATCACCTCGCTGTCTACATCTTCCACCAGAATCCAGAATGCCTCAGATGAGCCATGGACCTGCCGAGCAAGCCCAAGTCAGAGGACATGTGCTAGCAAGGACCCTTTGCACCCAGATCCCAGCCCTGTGGCCACACCGCGCCGTACTTTCTCATCCCACTGGAAATCGGGCGTGATGGTGAGCTCCACTTTGAGGGTGGAGCGCGTGATAGGTTGCAGATGCACGGACAACTCCAACTTGGGGAAGAGGTGGACGTATTTGTGGATGGTCTTCCCCATCTTCGGCACTCGGATCAGCTCTCCTGTGAGGAAATGGGAATGAGTACGGGGGCTGCAGGCCACTCACCTCACAGAGACACTGAAGCTACCACCCTGGGCCGGCTCTTCCCTTTATTCTCAGGGAGGAGGCCTCAAGTCCCCAGAGCAAGACTGGCCGAGGGCTGCAGCGGGCGTGAGGACCCAAGGCTCAGTGACACCTGAGCTCCAAAGACCCGCAGAGATGTGGTTGCCCACACACCTATCTCGTTGTGATTCAGGTCATACAGACGCTCAAAGGGGAAGTTTTTCTTCTCGATCTTCTTCACTACTTCCTCGGGGAGTTTCCGGAACTGGCGCAGAGGACACATGGACTGCCACCTACCCAGGAAGAGACAAGGTGTTAGTCCTTTCTGTAGGGCTCTCTCTCATCATGACTTCCCAGGGACTAGCCACAACAGAGGACACACCATTAAAGAAAGGTGTCTAAACAATGCCATCAACAAGACTTGCTAGGAACAACTCGCTACACCTAGGCCCACCCCAAAGAGCCGCCCCTCTTTTCAACTCCCACTCAGGTTCATGTCACGTCTTAAGCATCAGGACCAGCCAGCCAAGGTTCCTCTCATCACAGTACGAGCCAAGGAATCTCAGATCCTGGGGACCAGCTCCCAGCTTACATGCGCTTGTCAATCATTTTGCAAAGGTTCAGGGTCTTGTCTGTAAGCTGTGCCCAACCTCGGTTCAGGACAATTTCAAAGATTGCACGCATCAAGCGACCAGCCGACTATGGGGAAAAAAATAAAACAAAAGCTTCAAATATCCTCAAGTTTATTAAAATATAGTTTAATTGCTTCAAGTTCTGGGCTATCACTCTTACAAACTCAAAAGCCAAAGTCCTTCTATGCTTATGATACAACAGTTTAACTGAATGCTCGCTGGATGACTTGAAAGCTTTCGGGGTTTATTAGCAATCAGGACTCTAGCAAGAGTCAGAGCACTAGTGGCTTGCCTCTGCAAGTAATGGCCAAAAGTAGCTTTGCCGTTTCTAAATTTATGACCCTAAAGGCACAATGGGAAGTGAAAACTTCCCTGCAGGGGCTTAGGGACTACCCTGCCTCTCTGAGGGTCCAGGGTCCATGTGCAGCATGCTCTCTTTCCTAGATGCTCAGGACAAGAAAAGCAGAGTGGCTGTACTGCACGAGCAGGACAGCATGCCTTCCTTCTCTGGGTCAGGCCGACTTTCAGCAAGACTGATCGCAAGGACCTGGAACTGTTCAGGTTCCTCTCACAGCCGGGCACAGCTCTGACCTCACCTGCGTCACATACACCATGTCCGCCATGAGCGCAAAGCCCTCCAACTTCAGCTGTGAGATGAAGGCCTGGAGGAGGACGTTGATCTGGAAAAGAAAGACCAGAGCAAAGTGCACTGAGCAATGCTCGGAAGTCGCCCAGGTTAAGGCTCTATATAGCTTTTGGTTTACATACATAACTGTTACCCCATATAAAAATAATGTAAGATAAGGACGGACAAATGGAGAACTGACGCGGGTTAACCAGCACACATCCAAATTGAAGGTTCACCTTTTGGAGAACTAGGAAAACTACCTGGTCCTCATCCCCCGCTGAGGACTCACCTTGGCACTGGGTTCCTCGATGCTCTCCTTGACAGGAATGGGCACCCTCTCCAGCAATTTCTGCAGCTCCAGCTTCTCCTCCTGTGGTGATGATGATGAGCAAACAAGTCAAGCTAAAGCCAGGTGGCCAGGGAGAAAAGCCACCTGGATTGTTTGCTGGGTACCAACTCCCCATGTATGCTTCGAAGGCTCACCTCTCTCACAGTGATATTCTTGAACTCTGAGGACAACGAGAAGACTCTGAACAGCTCAATCTCACTCAGGGTGGGCTTCAGTAGCTGGTTGTAGGTCTGCACTGTATCATTGGTAATATAGTAGTGGCTGGCGATCCGACCCAGTTCTGTCACCTAGAGAGCAGACATCAGCAGACTCAAGACCCCAAGAGTGGACACCAGGTACCCAGGGGATGAACCCAGCAAAGCAAGTGACGGGCCCAGCACAAGAGCCAAGACGGCACACACCGACTTACAATGAACTGCCGTCCACACAGGGGTGGGAGCAGTGGCAGGTTTTGTTGTACATGTTAGAAGTCCTAGTTCAAAGGGCACGCTCACAGCCTGACCCATTTTTCTACAGTTCCATATTTTGTAATGGGATAGAAAACCCAAACTCAAACTCATTGCCAGCAAGTCAATTCAGACTCACAGTGACACTGCAAGACAGAGCAGAACTGAGTGTCTGGGTTTTTGAAACTTTGAAGGAGTAGACAGCCTACTTTTGCTGAGATCTCTACCTCAAAGCTCTCCTCCCACTCACCTGGAAGTTGCCTGTTTTCTTGTCATACTTGACCAGATTGTTCTTATCCAACATCAAGGCAGCGGTGTGAACCAGATCGAGTCGGCGCTGGTCCAGCAGGGGGTCTCCCTTGAGGTCATCGTGAGAGATGCCATAGAGGGTTGGGGATCTGAGCATCCGGATATACAGGTAGGCATAGCCCAGCCAGTTTACCGCATCCTACAAAAACAGCATGGGGACTCCTGATGCCCAAATGAAAAGTTCCCGGGGATTGTCTAAGAAAAATCAACCCCCAAGCTTAAGGACATACTGTATCATCTTCAGAAAGCTCCATTTCACTATTCAAAAGCCCAAGAGCTGTTCTAAAATCTTGGTAGTAAGGGGACAACAGAAAATTCCCAGGTTATACACCAGGTCCACTCATGTCATTTATTAATATGTAGGTCAGTCAGAACATCATAAGGTTCTTTTTTTTTTTTGAAATTGAATATAATATTTATTTTAAAAACATTGAAAAGTGACCACAACAGTAAGGACTAGTTGCCATGAGCTCAGAAAAAGGGAAAGTATACTGAGATGAGCCTAATATTTGGAATAATTTTTCCCTCAAAATATCATAAAATTTTTTTAAACATATTATTAGGGGCTCATACAACTGTTATCGCAATCCATACACACATCAATTGTGTAAAGCGCATTTGTACCTCATTCTCAAAACATTTTCTCTCCACTTAAACCCCCGACATTAGGTCCTCATTTTTCCCCTCCCTCCCCGCTCCCCGCTCCCTCATGAGCCCTTGATAGTTTATAAATGGGTATTTTGTCTTATCTTGCCCTGTCCGACATCTCCCTTCACCCACTTTTCGGTTGTCTGTCCCCCAGGGAGGAGGTCACATATAGTTCCTTGTAATCGGTTCCCACATCCTAAGGTTCTTACTCAGTCTTACTACAGCGCAAGAGGCTTGAAGCCTTTTGGATGATTTAAAACATGACTTATCACTCAAATTGCACAAACCCAGGTCTGCTCCTGTTTTGTTCTGTGGACGATGACAGAAGTGGTTGACGGTCTGCTTTAGAAAGCCAGGCGTTATGGGCTGTTAGCTGGATGTCTGTAACCCAGCCACTGCCTGTATTGGCCACAGACCCAAGAATCTTCTGAGACAGTTTTTAGTGAAGATGATGTGGGCACAGTGGTAGAGGACCTTGGATCCTGGCTGGCCGGCCAACAGCACCACAGCTGGGACCAAGGCCTCCCTAGAAAAGGCAGGAAGCCCCAGGGTAGAGCCCTTCCTCACCTTGGCGTTCTGTACATTCCCCAGCACGATTTCGGCATTGAGCATGTCAGGCAGCTTAGACACCATCTGACTCTCAATAGGAAGCTGCTGATTGAGGAGGGACAGGTAGTACTGCAGCTCTCCGTGAGATGTGATGAGGATCCCTTCACCCTTGGTGTCATACTGAGGTCTCCCGGCACGTCCCAGCATCTAGGTCAGAGACAGTAAGCCAAGGGCTAGGGCAACAGAGCTGCGGGTCTGGTGGGGGGTGGGTGTGGGGGTGGGTGGGGCTTCCATGCTTTAAAAGGTGGTGTCTGCTTGCTTCCCCAGCACCCATGCATCTCAAGCACAGGGTTCTTTCCCACGGAGAATGAGCACAAAGCCTCTGTACCTGCAGAATGTCCAGCGCTCCCAGCTCTGTCCAGCGCCCCTTCTCGGGACTGTACACCTGGGTGCCTTTGATAATGACTGTGTGTGCGGGAAGATTCACACCCCAGGCTAGCGTTGCTGTGGAGACTAATACCTACAGAGGCAAAAAGGAAGGCAATCAGGGAAAGTGATTCCAGCACCAAAAGGTATAGTATCTTCAGCTTCTCTGGGCAACTGGTCTCAAGTTTCCAGCAAGATGGAGATCTAAGTGCTTGTCGATGCAATGTGCAATACAGTGGAAAGAGTTCCTCAGCTTCCGCCCTATTCTAGAATGAACAATGTAAGATCCAGAGACACTGTACTAAATATAGACATGCTTTCATTAACCAGATTAGACGACAGTTAGCAACAGAGGCCGTTGCCAGGTTAGGAACATCCGATTTACAGATAACTCTTACTTGCCTTTTGACACATGCCTTCAAATTAGTTCTATCATGGCCGACAAAACAAAATAAAAACAGTCCTGGTTTTCCAAACAACTTGGGCGATTCATCGTGATAACCAGAAGCAGAAAAATTTCTTGTTAAATCCCTAGAACGGAGACTCCGAAGAGGCACGGTGAGCCCTTTCAGGAGGCCGGTGCATGAGACTAGAGCACGGGCAGGCCTGTGAGAGCCACGCGTTCTAAGTGGCGCTGTTGGCCGCCATCCTTGAGTGGGACACCGCTTTGCTTTCTTTGAACTTCGTGGTTCATGAACAGACCGGGAAGAACAGTTCAAAGGCCGGCTTTGAAGTAATTGAACCAATCCCAGTTCTTCATCCCAATCATCCTCATCTGCTGCACACACAGCTTTTAAACCATCAAAAGACGTCAGGCCTTTCCGTGCGCTATAGTGAGGCTAACTATAGAAGCACCTGTTCCACCTGACCCGTAAGTTGTTACAGACAGTCAGGAATGGCCCTCATGCACCGCCCAGGACTGCTAGCTTAGGCTGTCCTGCGAGAGAACGAGCAAGGCCCTGACCCTACAAAGGCACATTTGGAGCTCTGCTGTTCCAAAGCACTGCTTTTGCTGGGATCCTCAGCTACTTCCCTGAACACTAGATGAACACCTGGGGGAGGGGTGGGAGAAGTTATGCTACCTCAACTCTGACCTAGGCCATCTGAGCAGAGAAAAACACCAAAGGCAACATATGACTCCATCTTTGACACTTTAGGTCTCCTGAAGCCCGAGCCCCCTCCTGCTCTCCCCAAAGCGTTACCCTCCCTCACCTGAATGTGCTTGTCAGCAAAAAGATCCTCTACAAGCGTTCGGTCAACTCTGGTCATGCCAGCGTGATGGATAGCAAAGCCATATGGCAGAAGATCCTTTAGCTCCAAGTTCTGTGAAGAGAAAAGGAACAGTCAACAAGGTGAGCCTTTCTGTGGGAACTGTCTCAAGAAATAAGAATCTTCTTATGAGGAGTGAGGTTGAGGTCTGCCACCTTACCCAGGCACGTTACGCACCCACAGAATTGTAACCTCCCTGAAGCAACAGCACCCTAACAGGACCCTAGGAGAGTTGTCTGGATCCTCTGCAGAGCCAGTTACCTGGTAGGAATCAGAACCGGGGCCTGCCCCTTCTCACCTTGCACTGTTCAGCTTCTGTCCGCAGGACTTCTGTGGAGGCCGAGCCCTCTCTCAGAAACAAACCCAGAGTGTCCTTCTCTAGGCACATGTCCCGGATGGCCCGGGCCGTCTTCCCAGTCTCCTTCCGGGAGTGGACAAACACTAGCACCTAGGCAGAAACCAAAGTTTGCCAAGACACGAGACATTGCTCTAACAGCCACTCTCACAGCCCAGGGCACCACCCTGCAGGAAGCAGACGCGGCACCACTGTATATTCAGAAGCCAACGTCTGGACATAGTGAGAAACGCAAGGAGTGCCCTCTCGGAAGAAGCCTAGTGACAGGGCTGGCAGGACTTTAAAGACAAGCTCCTGGAAGCATGAAACTAAATACATGGGGGAGGGGAGGAAGTGGCAGATGGTAATCTACAGAGGGAGACCACAAATCAAGGAGCAGGAGAGAGTAAACTATTGGGGGATTTGATTAGTAGTTTAAACTATTGAAAATAAATTCTAAGCTTACAAATGTATAGTTCTAAATTTCCATATTTATACTATAAATATAGACAAAATTATAAACTTATATTTATAAAAAAACAAATCTGAAATGTAAGCACCCACCTAATTTACAATTAAAAAATTGTGGGGGGAAAAAAACCAAACTATTCTGGGTAAGGGGGAGGTGAGAGGAGGGAGAAATTATCCGGACCTGCCAATCAATTATCTACACATAAATACCCACCCCACCTTATCCCCATGGCCCCATGGGAATAAACAACAGAAACGCAGGTGAAGGGAGACAGCAGTCAGTGTAAAATATGAAAACAATAATAATACATAATTTACCAAGGAGTCATGAGGGTGACAGGGAGGGAGGGAGAGAAAAAAGAGGAGCTGATACCAAGGGCTCAAATAGAAAGTTTAGAAAATGATTTGGTAACTTATGTACAAATATGCTTGATACAATTGATGTATAGAATGTTGTAAGAGCCCCAAATAAAATGATTTAAAATAAATAAAAGTAAAAAAGAACTATTCTATGGATCTGCAAAATACTAGCTAAAATATTATATAAAATGGGTATAATCATTTATCAAAGGACCTAGAAAATTGTAGGACACACATACTATTTTATAGAAAATAAAGCCTAGTATTCAATCCTAAGAAAACTGATGTTCATATAAGCTCATTTGGCTTTTAATCAGATTAAAAGAAATGTAAAATAAAATAATCTATCACACTTTTCCTTGCTTTATCTAGTTAACCTGGTTAAATTTTGTGCTCAAACAAGGAAATTATCCATGGGATTAACTTCCTGGTAAAATGTCCCATTAACATTTTTGATCTAATAGCATATATTTCTCACCTTCATTTTAATGCATTTTTAATGTAAGTCACTCCAGAAAATGTAGTCATATAAACGAAAATTATATATACAGTACTACAAATTCAATAAGGTAGATTGACTGATTTTCCTTTCCAAGAACTTTAAAAGAACAAATTCAATTTCTTTAACAGCCATAGGACTATTCAGGTTATCTATTTCACCTAGGCTGAAGTGTTGGTAGTTTCTGACTTTTCAGGAATTGGCCCATCATTTCATCTTGTCAAATTTGTAATATCCCCATTATTATCCTTTTTAATGGCTGCAAGATTGGCAATAACGTCTCGTTTCATCCCCAATATGGGTGATTGTGTTCTTTCTTTAGCAATCTTGCTTCATCATCAGTAAATCGAGAACCCAAAAGAAAAGGAATCAAACAATGACAGAGGACTATGACCACACCTGGTTTTTCCCAGCATGCTCCATGATTTTCTCATAGACGATTTCATTCATGATCTGGAAGCGTTTGATAGCTTTTTTCTCTGTGATACCCACGTAAGTCTGTTCCAAAGGCACTGGGCGAAAACTGGAAGTTCAACAGTTAAAGAAGTAAGGCTGCTTTTGACAGAAAATACTGCTCAACCGTCCTCACTGCCCAGAAGCAGCAAGATCTAAAAACCCTTTCTTTGGATTCCCACAGCAAACCCCAGAGGCTCTTCTAAAGCCAATCCAACAGAGGTCCTTGGCAAAGAGGAAGGAGAACGGAAAGGTTGCCCTGGCTTAACTTTCCCCCGTCTCTTCTCATACCTGTTGTCAAAATAGAAGAGGCCCTTGGCAGGATCCACACGCAGAAAGGTTGCCACATCCTCGTAGTTGGGGAGCGTGGCACTCAGGCCAATGAGTCGAACGTCTTCTTGAGTCATCTCAATGTTTCGGATGGCCCTGGCTACCAAGGCTTCTAAGACAGGCCCTCTGTCATCATGGAGAAGATGGATCTCATCCTAAAAAATGAGGAATACAGCATATGAACTCCTCTAGGACGAAAGGAATCTAGCCCCCTTTCTTGAGGCTGGTTCCCTATTAGGCACGTGACCTAATATGCCCAATGAAGAAGAAAGGCAGAAGAAAGGCATCCCAGGACAGAACTTGCTACACATCCAAATAGAGACACACATTCCTTACACAACCCTCAAGGAACTAACACACACTGTGGCCATAAGTCTTTTTGTTTATGTTTAGTGAAATGCAATTGCTTACTATAAGAAAATAAAACATTTTAGGTACATTCATAACTCAAAAGCAAGGTTTTTTGTTTGTTTTTTTACTAAAACTGAAGCTTCTGATAAGACCATTTTTATATCAAGTTATCCTTACGAAGGACCCTTACCAAGAACATAAGACATCAAGTACCGCCTAAGTCAGTGTTTTACAAGCGTTAGCATGTATTAAAGTAGAAGGAAAATGTTAAAATAAAGACTGTTTCAACAGGTTTTGGGGTGGGACCTGAGACTGTCTCCTTAACAAGCTGCCATTATTCAATGTTGCTACTGCAGGTCTGTGAGTAGCAAGGGTGGGCCAACTTTTCCTTAAAAGACTATCTACTCACTTCTGTATGCTTATGAGTCATATGGTCTCTGCTGCAAAATATTCAGCTCAGCCACTGCACAAAAGCAATCACAGACAAGAGAGAAACAAAAGGCACAGCTGTGCCCCCTCTCCCCACAAGCCCTTACAAAAACAGGTGGCCAGAGGGCCAATCCCTGCTCTACAGCACTGAGAAGCAAAGTGTGAGGTTCCTTTGACAGTTAATGTCAAAGTCACTGCTTTCCAGGTGTTTCTGTAGATAGAGAACACTCCTTAGTCAGTCCTTCTTGGACGTTCTGGTAGGATACAATTAGCTTTCTCTTTATATTTATTTCAAAATCTTTTCAGACATGAAGAAACATACAAAGAATATGATAAGCACTATGCCCTTACTGTGAAAGTTCCCAATGACGTGCAGGTTCTCATTGAACATTAATCAGAGTTGGCACTAGTGGCCAGTATCAAAGGGTCTCTGAAGAGCCTGCAGTGTCAAACCCGACCAACCCTCCTCCCCCAGGGCTGGGCTGTTGCTATCCGCTCCACCTGCTGCTCACCAGAATGATAAGCCGCACCAGCTGGGTGTATGTGCGCTCCCCTCCCTTGCGTGTGATGATGTCCCACTTCTCGGGGGTGCAGACAATGATCTGAGTGGCGCTGATCTCCTCCTTGCACAGCTGGTGGTCCCCAGTCAGTTCTGCAACAGTGATGCCATACGTGGCCAGGCGCTAGGGAGGTGAAAGGTGAGTCAGGCAACAATGCCAGGCGGGGGCACACTTTGGAGTCTGGGAAATTTTAGGACAAGGTACTGAGAAGAGATAGCAATCCACCAGGAAATATCAAATGAGTTATTGTTGTGGATTGAATTGTGTCACGCCAGAGTATGTGTCTTGATTCTCCGAGTTAGCAAACTAGCTTCCATTTTGTGATCTAATGCTATCATCATCCTCTGTGTTATATCCCTTAATCTTTATGATGTGACCACAAGAACCCAAGTGGTGCAGCGGTTCCACGCTGGGCTGCTAACTCCAAGGTCAGCAGTTCAGAGGTCACCGTGGGAGAAAGATGAGGCATTTTACTCCCACAGTAAGTCATAGTCTAGGAAACTCACAGGGGTAGTTCTACCCTGTCCTGTATGGTCGCAACGAGCCTGCACTGACTGGAAGGCAGTGCGTTTGAATTTCATGGTGTTAATGGCACAGGTCATAATCTATAGGATTAGGTTGTATCTTTAATCAATCTCCTTTGAACACTAAAGAGATGAAACAAGTGAGCTGAGATGGGAGAGAGCTCAGTACCACCAGGAAAGAAGAATCAGGATTAGCGCTCTTCTCTGTGCTAAGAATCTCCTAGACTCAGGGGAAGATCAATGTGAAGACATGTGCACATCGCCAAGCAACACTTGGCCCACAGATACTGACAACAAAATAAGGACCTCCCTCCTCCAGGGTGTTCGACAGAAAGAGAAAGTCTCCCCTGAGAGCTGGCACTATAACCTGTCACTTCTAGCCCTTAACCTGTGAGTGGTTAATTTGCTTACTAATGCTACCCCCATGTGATTATTTTTGTTACTGCAGCACTAGATAACTAACAGTCAAATGATATAAACATGTATCCCTAAAATACGCTCAAGTTTACAAATTAAACAGACCCAGGTTCCGACAGCTCTGCGCATAACAGAGGGACAGGGAAGCAGCGGATACCCAGGACCTGCAATAACGCCCTCTACTTCAATACTGCAAATGAACTCAGCTGGCGAAAATCACTACCGAGCAGATGAAAGAAAGAGGGCAACCTCACAAAAGTACCAGCCAAGTTCAGGATGTGATCTTGCTTCCGAAGATCTCTGTCACTGGGCCAAATTCCAAGTTTGAAACTGAGGGGAGGAGGATGCCTGCCCAAGGCCCTGCGAGATGTCCTAGCACAGCAGCAGAGATACGAGCTGCACTCAGGAGCTACTGCAGCAAAGTTCTATCCCCTTACCTTTCCAAAGCTGCCCACCATCTCCTGTACCAAGGAACGCATGGGAGCAATGTAGATGATCTTGAAGTCGTCCACGTTGATGGTGCCATCCATGTTGATGTGCTTCCCGATCTCTCGGAGCATACACATCAGGGCCACGTTGGTCTTACCAGCTCCCTGAAACAAAAGCAAGTAGGGGAAGCCATGGGGGGTTAACTGATTATGCTTACCGCCCCAAGTGCCATGAGCTTATCACTACAACGGAACAGAGACAGCCCAAGGATTGGGGGGCGGGGATAGATGGAGAACAATCCCGCCATCGCACAACAGACTACATGTCAAAGGGGAAGTGCTTACAGTAGGCGCACACAGCAGCAGATTCTCATCTGTCTCCAGGGCAGCACGGTAGAGCTTACTCTGGATCCGGTTCAGTGTTTTGAAGCCTTCAAACCCAGCCTGGGCATATTTTGGCAGCTTTTCCACTGGAAGCAATTGCTAGAAGCAGAAATACCACTCACATCAGGCTGGTAGCATCACTGAGCAGACCATCTCTGCAGGATTCAGGATTTCATTTTCCGGAAACCTCCCAGTATAACTTTCCACTAAAGGTTGAGTCCAAAGAGATCAACATTGTCCCCTGGGCTCAGGATCATACTGGGAAAACTCGGGAGGAGCTTCCAATCTGAGACATCAATGGGTTGAAATCCAAACTGGAAGTGAGATGAACTGAACATAAAGAAAAACTCATTCACGACTTACTTCTTCTGAGCCAAACGGCTTGGGCTTCAGAGCAGGCACATGCACCTCTTCATAACCCTTGCGCTGACGACGGAAAGACCCGTCAGGAAGCTGACAGCGTTTGTTGGCCATGAAGTGGCTCCCCTGGGTAAAAACCAGGTCCTCCAGGTCCAGCACCTGCCGTGGAGCCAGTGCCTAGAAGGATCAAAATAAAAAACACCACGGGCATCAGGCAAGCTGAACAAGTGAGTTTTCTACCCATCACGTCCCCAGAGCCAGTCCTGAGACCCACCTCTCCGCCCTGGTCCAGATCCATGGTTTCCAGATCTGTGTCCATCCGGGACTGACGCACTCGCTCTCTCCGGGTCCTTTCCTCCTGTGGTCGGAGAGATCAAAAGCATAACCAGCTACTCAATTACCGCCAGGGTTCTTGTCATTTTCAGCCCCTGCTTAGGCAAGCTGGACTAACAAGATGCCTGCTGGTAAGTTTGCTTTTCACGTTCAGGTTATCTGCCACAGAAACCACAATGATCAGAGCAAACAAGCATCATTTAGGGGACAAACACAAAGATGTCACAAGTAGACCTTGGTCCCTGTGTCCTCAGTTTATTAAACGTAAGAGGCTGACCTGGTGTTGGTCAGGATAGCAAGGTCTCTCTACCACAACCAAACTTGCAATGTGAATGTATCGACTCTAATCTATACTCCCTGGGAAACCCCAAAGAATTCAGAGAAATAACTTCTCTCCTGAAACGTTCTCTCTGATGAGGAATCATCTACCCAGGATCCATTCTCCCAAGCAAACAATTTCGTGCAGAATCAGACAGAAAAACCAACACCGCCCTTACCCGGATCAGATCCTCCTTCTCTGTTTCATGGAGCTGGTAGAGGAACTTGGATAGTTCTGGATCTGCTTCCATTTTTCCCATGATCCTTTCCTTTTCAGCTGCGCTCTGTGCGCTGGCCAGCAAGGTACAGTATAAAACTGCCAACAGCCAAAGAAGAAAGGGAAGGAGGGGATGACATTTTAAAAACCAGCCTTTAACCTTGGTGGAGAAATAAGAAACGGGTGCCAGAGCGCTGAAAGCCAACATAGTCTCCATCACCACACAGGGGCTGCACAGAGACGGTCTGACACTCACTCATCATCCTGTGCTGCCGCAACACTTTAATGAAATCAAACGTGTTGAACCCGAGGAGCAGCACCAGCTGGTTCTCACATTCCCGGTCATCGCTTGCCGTCTGCACACATAAGACCAACGTTCAGAACGCAGGTGCCTGCTTCTTTCACTGCCCATCAATGAAGGCAGAAACACATATAGCATACCTTCAAAATCTCCAACACTTCATCTGCCTTCTTCTGGGACACAATGGCATCATCGTAGAAACGGCTCAGCTGCCGCTGCAGCCAAAATGCATCGATATCCCGAGGGTGCAAATCCTTCTTCTTGGAACTCATCAGTTCTCCCGAGGCTACAAGCTACACAAAGAATCAGGTACTGAGCTCACCAGGTCTGTCTGCTCCAACAGAGTTCTACTCTCCACCCCAAAGCCTACCTGTGTTGAGGATTTTATAGAGCGGGGAAAGCCCTCCGCTACAATGAAATCAAATTAGGATTTTAGCCGCATATGCTTAGGGGAAGGAATGGATGGCTCAAATCTTAAGAAAACCAAGTCACTAAATGTTGATGACAGCTTGCCCTCTAAAATGACTGCTCCAGAACATGTGACCTGGGGCAGGTATGGAGAGGGAGTGCTGTATTCAGAAAGAGCCTAGCCTCGTAGCAATGAGGGCGTGCACTTACATTAGCCGAGAGGGTGCAGCGCACAACCGCCTCATCCCCTTCCATGTCATCATCAGATGCCTCTTCTCGAACCTCCCCGTACACATCTTCGTCCCCTTCCTGTGGAAAGAGTCCCGGTCCCAACTCACAATCAAGAGATGATCCTGGAACCACCACCAAACCTCTCCCATAAGTCACCCCAGATTAGCTCCATGGTTACAACAATGGTTTACTGGGGTGAAACCAACGGCTTCCTGAAGCCGAGGTAGGTCAGTCAGCCTATCCCAAAGCACGTTTAGTAGGATGACCACTGGGCATGGATTCATTCGATGCTTCCACTCTCTTTTCTGCTTTTCTCCTTAGGCTGCTGCTAACTGAAATCGGCTCTCTCAGATGAACGCAGTAAGGAGTTTAGAGAAATAAGAGCTATTAGGTTAACAGGACAGAAGAGCTATCCAGAAGCATGCTTGGGAAAGCAGAAAGTAATTGAGCAATGTAGAGGCATTAAGCAAAGTCATGTTTAAGCCAAGTACTTCAAAAGTAAGTGAGTAACTTGTAACAAGTCCCTATGAGAACAGCTTTCTTTTCATGTGTTGCCAGGGGCACTGTGTCTAACTTGGGCATTGGGCTGCTATTCTCACGGCTAGCTGCTCTGCAAGGGGAGGAAAAGGCCTCAGCTCCCGCAGAGAGCATGGCAGGTCCTACAGGGTCTCCAGGAATCGGAATGCACTCCATGGCCGTAAAGGGCTCTAGTTGGTGCTTTTCCTCCCGTCATGTTCTCCTGAGTCAGCTCTAGGAGCCAGCGTTTGATTGTTTAAGAGCTAAACTCACTGATGAAAAACTTTAAGTAATTCCAGTGATTGCTTCAATTGTTACTAAACCTGAAGAAAATTCTTAACAGTTCTTATTTTGCAAAATAATACTTGATGCCTCGGTTTGACACTCACACAACGTAAGATTTCTGTGCTTCAAACTAAGGAGCTGCCTTACACCTGAAGTGGTCTCAATTACCATAGTACTTTCAAAAACCAGAAAAAAACGGATCCATTTGCTTTATCACTCACCTCTTCATCAGACTCAAACTGCACGTTCACACCATATGTCTCATCAATGTTGTCATCTGAAACGATGAGGGATTTAAGAGGAGGGGTGGATAATGAACGGCTAGTGAAACAAGAGGCACTAATTTCCTCCCCAACTGCCTGACTTGTCTCTTACGGAGTTAGATCTGTGGCCTAAGGACTCACAGAACAGATACTTCAACATAAAGACAATCAACAAAAGAGTGACCTAAAACCAGAGGCCTCCCCACACTGCCAGCATTGGGTTGGGTCCTGAGCTATTTGCCCAACCATTCCAGCCCCCAGATTCTGCCCAAGTTTTCTCCCATCATCTATCAAAGGTTTCCTAGAAAACCTTGAACAGCTACTGGAATCTAGGAACTTCAGTGTCCATCAGTTATAACTCTTCAACAAATACAGTACAGGTTATGGGACTGTAGCCTGCCATGCAAGATGTTTAATGAATAATGCTATAAAATGCACTTTTAAGGGTCAATAACAACAACAATGTATGATCAGAATACAAAGAGCCCAGTTACCCATATTCTGGATTTCCTTGTCGCCACCATAGTCTGTGATTTTCTTGCCCAGGTTCACCAGCACGTGGTATCTGGTATCGTCTGTCTGACCCAGCAGCAGGTCAATCTCCTTGCGCCTTTCCTTGTCCCGCAGCTTCTCATTCTTTAGGACAGCGAGCACTTCATCAGCTGCCCCACAAAGGATGTCACGTGGCTGGTGGCAAAGAGCAAATAAAAGGTAGAACCACGTCTCACAGAGCATGACAGACCAGCTTACCGAAACCTGTATCATACCAGGTCCTGCCGTGTTCATTAATACTGATCAAAAAGGCCACACAGGAGTCTGTGACTGAAGAAGGACCCATCTGTTTTAAAATCTTAGGTAGGTGGTCATACAACATCCATGACAGCTTGGTATGGGTCTCCAAGAGGTTTGAGAAAGAAAGCATTCCGTGGTCCGCCTAGCTCACTCGAGTTTCAGTAATTCTTTGTCCTTATCTCCTTTACTGTACACTTCACCAAAGTCAGACCCTTTATGGGTGTGGGGCGGGGGAGACACTCAGTACCTCATTTTAGCTCACAGTCCAGGATAAAGTATAGGTATCTGATTTTGCAGTGCCCCCTGCATTGTCCCAGCATCCCCCAAGAGGCAGTATCACCCACTTTGGGAAACACTGGTCTAAGGACTCAATGTCTTCAATATAATTGTAGCTGTGTAATGGTTAATATTAACAGCACAGGCTCTGGAACTAGATCACCTGGGTTCGTAGGCTAGCTCTGCCAAACACTACGTTTGTGACTTGGAAAGAAGACTTAACAATTCCTTCCCTCAGGTCACCCTTCTGAAAAAGGGAAACAAGTATTAGCACGGCCCCTCAGAGTGACTGTGAGAAGTGAAAGACAGAGGTCATGTAAGAGCGACCCCATGAAAAGACATGATCAGCCAGTGTTAGCCGCCGTCATTACGTTTTCTGCCAACTGCTCTGACCTATCCAGGCAAATCCAGAGACAGGGTTCTTCTGGGGCTTCCCAGCTGTGACCCTCTCCCTTTCCAAATGCATGCCTTCATCCTCTGGCTGCCTTACCTGGTCACCAAGGGCAGCCTGGATGAAGCTGAGCAGCACTTCATAGGTCTCCCGGGTCTCCTTGGTTTTGGGCTTATAGATGATTCCCACCATCTCATCAATGCCCTCGGACAGCAGGGTATAGCCCTTCATCTTGTTGATGTCATGCCGGTCCTCATCCCGCTTTCTTCGCCTAGTGGACACACAGTAGCACACTGACCAGGCCGCGCTTTTCCTCACCAAAGGCAGGCCTACCATCCTCTCACTCCGTCTCATGATACACACATCGAAAACAAAGACTGGCATCTCTACAAGCGAGTCCCATTTGCTGCCAGGACTGTGGCAGAAAGAGAACCCCAATCACTTTCTCATCAGATGCATTCAAGAGCTACAATGAGGCTCCTTAATTCAAAAAAGATACATTTCATGTGACAATACTGTACAATCTGTTTCTGATCAGTTTTTCAAGTCATGACTATTTTCTTTTTCTAGCCAAAGCAAGTGACACTCCAAGGGATCTACTGCCATTGATGGACTTCTGTAGTGCAATGGATCACTTTTATATGGTCTCTCTTGCCGTGGTCTTGTAACTCCCTCCAAATCATTAGTTGGGACTACCCAAATAAAGTGCTTGTGGCCCACCAAGAGATTGGACACCTTGCTAATATACAAATAACATACTTGGCCCCCTTGTGGAGGTGGGACTACACAAATACAGACATGGAAACAGAATGGTCAGTTGTGCCATCCACTAGGCTTAACATGATTTCATCCCAGAGCAGAGTGGACAGCACTACCACCAAGAAGAGGAGACAGTGCTGTAGTGTGTCCTTTGGACCTGACACCCCTGAACTAAGAGCCTCGTAGACCCAGGAGACAGAAAGCGATGACACTGGACACAACCCTGCAGCAGAACTGACAGAGGCAGGGCCAAGAGACCAGTGCAGTATGGCAGTGGGCTTTCTAGCCCATTGAGAGGGCAGCTCCACTGTGCTGACCGATGCAGCAAGAGCTAAGTGCCTACAGGCAAGGGTCTTTCTAGCAGAGTGGGGTAGAGCCTCCACCTACTTTTCAGTGGAGCTAAAGAGCTTTGTAACACTTGCCTGAAAAAGCAGAAAGGAGCCAAGAAACTACTGACTTGAAATAGTCATGACTTGAAAAACTGATCAGAAACAGATTGTACAGTATTGTCACATGAAATGTATCTTTTTCGAATAAAAGTGATCTATTGCACTACAGAAGTCCATCAATGGCAGTAGATCCCTTGGAGTGTCATTTGCTTTGGCTAGAAAAAGAAAATAGTCATGACTTGAAAAACTGATCAGAAACAGATTGTACAGTATTGTCACATGAAATGTATCTTTTTCGAATTAAGGAGCCTCATTGTAGCTCTTGAGTGCATCTGATGAGAAAGTGAACTGCATCCTGAGTTGTTCCTGATCCTAAATTGTAAACTGTTACTTCCCTTTAACAAACCCCCTAAAGGTAAAGTTCTGAGTTCTATGTGGCCATGGTGACAAGTGATCAAACACAGAGGCGGCCTCGAGAGTGTTGTACAGGGATGGCTGGTGTTCAAACTGGTATAAACGACTGGAGAGTGGGGATAGGGCGGACCTCCACCCCACAGGACTCAGTTTTGGCCTAATGCTTACAGTGACTTTGCTCCTACATGAAGTCAGACAAGGAGGTCGAACAACACTGCCACCGTACTATTTTTACAACTCCTATCAATTAAAGTTCAATAATTAAGTTTAGAAATGCACCAACCAGTAAAGGAAAATAAAACACCTATCTTTAGCACTTTGGATGTTCAGTGTTACCTTATAAGAACCAAATAAGAAATAAGCAACAGTAGGAAAGTGAAGTAGAATGTTAGTCATAGAATTATTTTAAAGTTACTGAGACAAAGGAGCTTCAAGATACCATCAAGAAAAGATTTGAATGTGGGCCAGAAACGAAGGGGAAGGCCCTCAATTCGATGGATGGACACAGTGGCTGCAGCAACGGTCTCAAGCATCGGCACAATTGTGAGGAAGGCACAGGACTGGGCAGAGTTTCATTCTGCTGTGCACAGCCTATGGGTTTGAACCACCTCGGTGGCACCTGTCAACAAGGTGCTTTCCTACCACCAACTTCTCACCTTGCACCAAGCCATTTCCGCAGCAGTGGACATGATGACCAAATGCTACAGAGAAAACATGCTGTGAGGCTGGAGGAAAGTGCCCCAGGGTACTCACTTGGCTCTTCTTTCCTCCTGCATCTGCGGCTTGGTCCGTTGTGCTTTGTCTCCCATCCGGGTGCCCTCCAGCTTCCCAACCAGGGACAGCACCTCTCCAGTGGGCTCATCTCGGCGGGTGCGGTCAATGAGAGAGCGGTCAGCTTGGAGGACAAGATTGGAGTTCTGAAAAAATCACAGTATTACCGCAGCTCTGACACGAACAGAGCCAGCTCCAGGGTCCCAGGCACATCGACTGCTCAACAAAGGGCGAATTGTGGCAACTAAGTGCTGATAACCACTAGATGGAATTTCAGATTTTCCCCTTTATGCAATAGATAGCACCGCAAAGTGGCGCGTGGACAACAGGTTAAAATCAAGTCCAATTAGGTGGACATTCACTGCCAATAACGGGTGGAAGAGAGCTGGTTTAGCGATTCAGACGGCTCTCTGGAGGGAAAACCCTCTTAGCAGAGGTCTTGGCCTCTCCCGCCCTCCAGACGGTAATGAGGTTCCTGATCTCCTCGTGTGGCCCCACTTTCGTCCCGATTCCATTTCCCCACCGCTTGCAGGGCTCCCCCGAAGGCCTTCGGCCTGAAACGCCCCCTAGTCCCACGTTCCCGAGCCACCTCCTTCGCCCCAGCCCTGCCCCGAGCGCTCACGCACCGCTTTGTACTCGTACTGCAGGCTACGCGCGGTCACGTCCGCCATGGCGGCGGCTCCGGGCCCTCAGCAACACCGCGAACCGGCGCCCTCGCCACCCGCCGCTCGCGCCCGGCCGGAAGTACGCAGCGGGGACGCACTGGAGAGACGCCCTCCCTTCCGCTTCCGGGTCGCGCGCCGACCGTGAGGCGAGGGGCGTGTCCTCGAGGAGTGGGCGGGGCTGTCACGTCTGGGTCTCCAAATCTCCACCTCCCAAGGTCCTTGAGATCAGCTTCCGGTGTCCTCTGTCCTCCGCCCCCTGGGACCCATGGCCTCGTATTTCCCTACCCTTCACCTCAAGTAGATTAGATGATTAGATAGATAGATAGATCGATAGATCGATCGATCGATAGATGATAGGTAGGTAGGTAGATAGATACATACATACATACATACATACTTGCATACATAGATAAATAGATGATAGGTAGGTAGGTAGATAGATACATACATACATGCATACATGCACACATAGATACATAGATAGATGATAGGTAGGTAGGTAGGTAGGTAGATAAATACATACATACATGCATACATAGATACATAGATGATAGGTAGGTAGGTAGGTAGGTAGGTAGATAGATACATACATGCATGCATACATAGATACATAGATGATAGGTAGGTAGATAGATAGGTACATACATACATACATGCATACATAGATACATAGATACATAGATGATAGGTAGGTAGATAGGTAGGTAGGTAGATACATACATACATACATGCATGCATACATACATACATACATAGATGATAGATAGATAGGTACATACATACATGCATACATAGATAGATGATAGGTAGGTAGGTAGATAGGTACATACATACATGCATACATACATACATACATACATAGATGATAGATAGATAGGTACATACATACATACATGCATACATAGATAGATGATAGGTAGGTAGGTAGATAGATAGATA